GTGTGAGCTACTGGAGACAACCTGAGGGAGCTCTGATGGAACAGGTTTAGAAATGGAGCATCAGCAGATTTAAGTTGAGTGAGCAGTGCCTGGAGAGGAAGAAATTAGATATCTTGAAAGAAAAAGAGTGTGACATCTCTGGTAGAGCTCTAAGAGCAGGAAGCCAGGTGTGTGGCATCCTTTTTTGATTATACCATTAAGTTCTGGTTTTTAGGAATTGCCTAATATGAGGCCACTGGGGTAAGTATTATGCTGCTACAATATTTTCTGTCTTCTCCTGCTTGTGATCAAAATTTTTCTCATCTAATACACAGTTAGCAGTTTCTTTTTCCTCCTCAGATCTGTTCTTTTACTCCTTCAACACTTTTTCTTATACTCATTCCATTTTGCCTTTTCTTCCATTGTGTCCATGTTCAGATCCTTAATTCCCAACTATGCCACATACCTTATGCTTGACTCTGACATTGTTGTGGGACTGGGCATAGGCGCATTAGAATCTTGGTATCCAGGGTCCTGACTTAAGGAATATGGACAGTGGAAGGTGGTGGCAGATGCAGTCTATTTTCATGGTGAAAGCAGCAGTGGCAGATCCCTGTTGGAACATACAGAATATTTTAGTGTCTAAGAGTCGAACTAGTGGCTCATTAAGGTGTACCTATGTAGGCAGTACCAAATCAATTTTCCACAAGGCTCTAAAATTTTGCATGGCAAAGAATAAAGCTTGACAGTTCCAATAATTCTTTTTTTCATTTAAAATATGCAAGTTTGAACAAGGACAAATATTCCCATGAAGGTGAATCCCAGTTACAGGTCAACTGCTTCCATGGATATGTATGTGTGCACCCTCCAAGCATGGAACTACACATCTATTCTACAGTTAAGAACTAGCAAAGTCTAATCCTCAACCTGTGTATAAGGTTTCACAAGGAGCAACTAAATACAGCATTGTAGGAAGAAACAATTGAGGGTGAATAAAAAAAACATGGAAGTGGTAAACAGGAGAAAATATCTTAATTGCAATAAAGGCTTTTATTCAAAACCCAATCAGGGTTCTGTAAGGGATTAAAGGTACAAAAATAA